TTGTATTTGCACAGTTGAAAGCTTTTTGAGCTTATATATAGCTATGCATTAGGAAAATTATTTTAAAAATATGTTAATCTTCCAATACAAACAGTTGTGCATTGTTGTGTACAAGCTTTGTATTGACCATCTCAAATTATTTTTTCGTTGTTTGTGTTCATTTGAATGTTTTTTGAGCTTGTACATAGTTGTGTATAAGATAAATACATTTTTTGTTGGTTTTTTTGTTGCAGGAGATCTATTTCCTCCTGAGTAACTCCCTTGAGGGAATAAAAAATCTGCATATACTCAGGCTCATCATGAAATAATTCTGAAACTTAGATTTTGTTATTAAATCTTCTTTTGTACAAGGGCATCCAATGCTTCATAATCAAGGGAGTTACTCAGGATTATTTTGATGAGTCTCCCCCGCCCCACCCCCCCGCCTTTTCTTCTATAAACCTCTTAGGAGCTTCTCCTTGTCCAAACCTATGGCCAAACAATCACTATCAACCCTCTTCCGATTGTCCTTTTCAGTTCAAGATGTATCAAGCCCATCAATTTTTATTTGGTTTCTTTTTAAACTATATATTATACTAAAAGAGGTCTAACTCGTATACTTATTATAGTAGCCCAACCAACATCTTGTAAGATTTTTTTTATCCATAAACCTCTTAGGAGCTTCTCCTTGTCCAAACCTATGGCCAAACAATCACTATCAACCCTCTTCCGATTGTCCTTTTCAGTTCAAGATGTATCAAGCCCATCAATTTTTATTTGGTTTCTTTTTAAACTATATATTATACTAAAAGAGGTCTAACTCGTATACTTATTATAGTAGCCCAACCAACATCTTGTGAGATTTTTTTTACTTGGCCTACCTCATCCCATACTAATTAAGGCTTCGTTTGGGGCAGCTTTCTTGTTGCTTCTTAAAACAACTTTTCAGTACAAAATTTTTAATTTTTGTATACTAAAAAGTTATTTTAAGAATCAATAAGAAAGCCATCCCAAATGAGGCCTAAGTTGAACCTCACAATTTTACCCTTCTTGTTGCAACTTCTCAAGGGATCAATCATCTAGATCAGAAGTTATTTATCTACTTGAGCCCCATTTGAGACAACTTTCTTAATGCTTTTTAGAACAAATTTTTTGTACCAAAAAAAAAGGTTTAAAAAAATTTTTGCACAAAAAATCTACTTTAAAACAATAAGAAAGTTGTCTCAGACGAAACCTTAACTATGAAGTTTCCACTAAATCTCCACATGTTATGAGCAAAGGTGCTTTACATATTAGGGTTTACATTTTGCTTATACATTACATTAATATTCCCTCCCTTTCTAATGGGTGGTTTAGTTTATTCATGCCTCTTCTTTCTCTTAGAAGCCTTGTAGGAGTTGCTCATCATTTGATTCTTTAACTCGACAATCACTCCCCCCACTCTTCACATAACCTTTTTCAAATTCAGGGTGTCACAGTGAGAGCCTGTGAGCTTTTAAGGAAATAAATAGAGGGTTATAAAATTGAAAAACAAGGTAGAAAAAAAAAACTAGAAATATGGAAATTGAATATCTATGATAATGGATGTCATAGCATGATGGAAACACTTTACTTAAAATTTTATGGTGATTCAATAGACTATGATTTAAAAAAAAAATAAACAAACTTTATTCAATAAAAAGGAGGGTTACAACAACGAGAGACCAACATCCAGTGGTACAAATTAATAAGACCATAAAAACCAGATAGATAAGGAGAAGTAGAGAATATGGACTCAGGAATGGAGACCCCCTACCCCAAACTCGCCGCCAAATACGGACCATCCATAGGTGCCAGTTATAGGAATAGAGTCCAGAGGCCACCAAGCAATAGAAAGAGGCACCCAGGTTGCAACCAGCCCAGCCAGCAAGGGGACAGGGGGCTTCCTCATCATCGTCCAACAACATTCAAAATCCATAAATGAAATAGCAAAAACCAAATACCAGCTATTTCTTTTTGCCTTTACTTTTATGCTTTTTTCCACCCGCTTTTAGAAAATCACGATTGATTGAGCGATGTACGGTTTCCTCCTCAAAATCCTGACTGTCTGTTTCCTCAGAAGAAAATGACTCCTCCAAAACCAACCAGTCAGTTTGAAGCAAAACATCATTTTTCCCAGACTTAGCCATATGAGCTTTCATTTCAATATTAGACATAACTGAAATAAGGATATTAACAAAATCAACATTGCCCTAAAAGCCATTGTTAGGAGTTAAACCTAATTGATCATGAACTTGCATATTCGATGCCATGTTAACAGAAGAAGAAACAACATCCGAACTCACTATAACAACGGAGAGGATTCCACATTACCAATCAATTTCTGACTAGTAGAAATAGGAGAACCAGAAGGCTCAGCGCCTACACAAGGTGCACCAAACTCAACCAAATCACATGGGGTAGGCACATTATCCGCACAAGATAAAGCAGGTTTAGAATTTAAACCACAATGCAATACAACAACCTCACTCGAACATAACTGCGAAACCTAGGCAGTAGGAGCCACCCCCTCCAAAACCACAATAGAGTCCAGCTGGACTAAAATCAAATTAGAATTAATAGGATTAACGCCCTAAAAACCCATAGCATTCTCAGCAATATTGACAGGAGGACCAACTTCTGAAGGGACAACAACCACAACATTCGCAGAATCCCCCACAACAGGGATCGGCATAATAGGGGAAGGGGGAAATAATGAATCAAAGCAAGATTATCATAAACCTCATTAGGGACCTTGTTAGAATGAGGAAGTTCAGTATGGATCAGCACAACAGGAGGAGGACGGCAATTTCCAACAGCATGTCCGATACTTTTACAAGAAGCACAAAAAAGGTGGGAACTCATTCATAACCATATTTTGGACATAGTCGAGCTTCTCAGAGCCTAACCACACCTTATTAGGGTAGGATTTAGTCATATCCAGCTCCACTAAAACACGAGCTAAAGACAGCCTAGATCTAATAGAAGTAGCAGCATCAATTTTCAAAGGTTTGCCAAAGAGAGAGGCCAAACCATGAAGAATGCAGGGGAAAAGAGGTGAGGCGCAATTGCGGAAAGGATACCCAAATCGGGATCACCGGCGACTCAACACCGACATCAACAAGGGGAGATCACTTGGTAAGCTTCATGTAGCAATTATAAACCAAATACGATCTATTACAGAAGACCCTACAGTAATCATGGTCATTAGCCTGCTTGATGAGAACATGCGACAGATTCAACAATATGACCGAAACCTCCCCATTCAGCTTGAGGTTAAAAAATTTTTACGAATGGTATCAAGAGATTGTTTTTTGGTAGGAAAAAATCAACTAACGAGAACTGAAAAGGAACGACCAATGCTTGTATTTCCTGATTAGAGATCCAAAGGGAAGGCAAGCCACAAAAGGAGGATGCCCTAAGCTCAGGAAATTCAGTGACGGAAGAAGAGCCCGCAAGAACATCCAAAAAAGAATGCGATGAAGAGGAGCCCCCTAAAAAAATTCAATAGACTATGATGTCATACTGATAAACTCTCATATAGGGTTTTTTTTGTATTAAATTATCTTCTTTATTTATTATCTCTTCTAAACTATTATGTATTTTTTTAGTTTGAAATAATTAGTGCTTCTTTTTAATCAGATTTGTGTATTTGAATTTGAGGAAGGCTATTTTTTATGTCATTTTTATGTGTATAGATTGGCTTCTCTATGCTGTATTTAATTCTTTTTTTATTGTGGACAAATGATATACGAAGGCTTCGTTTGATACGGCTTTCTTATTGCTTAAAACAACTTCTTAATACAAAAGTTTAATTTTTATATTAGGAAGCTGCTTTAAGAAGCTGTAAAAAAATTGTCCTAAACGAAGCCTAAAAAGAATATGAAAACACAGATAAAATACAAAATAGGCATAAGATACACCTATTATAACATACATCAACCATAACAATATATATATTATTAATTCAATCATTCATGTAATAATACATTTATTTCAATTACTCTTAAAATAAGAAGTAAATTTAATTTTATTAAATGCATTAAACACAATTTAAAAAAGCAATCACAAGATATTATAAATTGTTAGTTTGAAGAAGAAAATTTAATTTCTTTGTTAAAAAAATAAAAAATAATCAAGAAAAAATTTATAAGAAAATAGATGTAAATAAAGAAAATGACTTTGGTCTTTATTGCCTCGTTGTTGGCTCAATTCTTTTAAGCTATAGTAGTTTTTTTTTTGTGACATTTAGGACAAAATCATACACCTTATATTACAAAAGTTTATTAAAAAAAATTGTCAGAGTTCTGAGTAATGGGCATTATTTAAAATAAAAAAGAGAATATATTACTTTAAAATTTCAATAATATATTTTAAAATAAAAAAGAGAATATATTACTTTAACTTAAATTATTTTAAATTATTTATATAAAATATTTTCTAACTAAAATTATTATTCAATGACACATGTATTTATTATTTTCCTTTTAAGCGGAACAAAGATGGCGAATCACATGAAAATATGAAATTGACTGGGAGTTTTGCTAGCGCTAGGCTCGGTAATGAATGAATCAAGCATTCACAAACTATTGCTCTAGTTAGAAAACAACGATTTAATAGCTCTCTTTGGTTTGATGGTTTAGAGCTTGGACTATCAACTAAGAGGTTTTAAGTTCAAGTCTTGCTTCTCTGAGGTGTATGATTTTGGCCTAAATGTCACAAAAAAAAAACTACTATAGCTTAAAGAATTGAGCCAATAACGAGGCAATAAAGACCAAAGTCATTTATATGTCTTTACACAAGATGTTTGATGAACTATGACTGTGCCCTGTATGTAATTCATTATAATTTATCTTAAATGTTGATATCACCATCACAAGTAGACTATCCATTCATTAAGGCATAATGATTAAAATCTCAAATGATCAAGACCTCTTCTAGCTTTACTTCCCTATATTTAGAACCTCAAACAGAAAGCCAGCACACAAGCTCCCTCAGCTCCTTCAATTTCTCCTCTCTTTCAATGTTGATAAGCGCTGCCACCTTCTCAACAACCAAATATGAAGCTTATCTTATGATGGTCCATGAACTACCAAGAATCTTTGTCCAAGGACCATCCAAAATTTACTAAAGATATTGAACCCTCAGGGTTCTCCCAAACACTTCAAGAAGCCATGGCTTCCATCCCAAACGAGCACAGCTCTAATTCCATTGAACAAAGCAGTGAGCTATCAGTCATCAGGCCTGAACCAGTTTTCTCTGTGCTGAACACTCCTGATCCTCCTTCTCCATGGAAAGAGCTCGCTTCCTCAATGAAAGAGAAAGTGCTTACTCGAGGAAAGCAATCCTCTTCACTGCTGCATTTCACACTATCAGGTTTGCAGGGCCTTTTTCCTGTCCTTAGCTGGGGAAGAAACTATGATCTGAAATCATTTCGAAGCGATATAATGGCAGGACTTACTCTTGCAAGCCTTGGCATTCCACAGGTCAATATAATTTTTTTCCTTATCTTTTCTGGTTTGTTTTGGTTTCTCAATGCTTTTGAATGGTATGCAGAGCATAGGATATGCCAACTTGGCTAAGCTTGAGCCTCAATATGGCCTCTGTAAGTAGAAGGCGAAAACTCTAGTTCAGTAGTTTTTAACAAATTTCATGTTTGGTAAAAATTTTCTCTTGACGTTTGATTTTATAGATACAAATTTAGTTCCACCTCTGATATATGCTGTTATGGGAAGTTCAAGAGAAATTGCCATTGGACCAGTGGCTGTTATCTCGCTTCTTGTTTCCTCCATGTGTCAGAAGATTGTTGATCCATCAGTTGATCCAACTGGCTACAAGAAGATAGTGTTCACTGTAACATTCTTTACAGGAATATTTCAAGCTTCTTTTGGCTTTCTCAGGTTAGATTTCTGCAACTTCCAATATCTATCAGTACATAGAGAATTCGGAGATTAGTTTGATTTCTTATATGATTGGTAAACTTCAGGCTGGGTTTCCTAGTGGATTTCCTCTCTCATGCTGCAATTGTGGGGTTCATGGGCGGTGCAGCCATTGTGATAGGTCTTCAGCAGCTGAAGGGACTTCTAGGCTTAACTCACTTCACAAATAAAACAGATTTAGTTTCTGTCATCAAGGCTGTTTGGCTTGGCCTTCATCAATCTGTATGTCTCAAAAAACACGAATTGGAAATCATTTTAGCCTTCAATTTTTTATTTTTATTTTTCTTTCTAAGAAGTTTTTCTCTCTACTTTTTTTATTGATAATCACAGTGGCATCCAGATAATTTCTTCCTTGGCTGTTCCTTCCTTATATTCATCTTGGTCACAAGATTCTTAGTAAGTAGTGAAGACTTGAGAACTTTACTATTTGAATTACCGGAATCGATGAAAACATTTAGCATATTTACTTTGCAGGGCAGAAGGAATTTGAAGCTATTTTGGTTGTCAGCCATTGCTCCTTTGCTTTCTGTAATTTTATCAACTGTAATAGTTTTCCTGACCAGAGCAGATAAGCATGGACTGAAAATCATAAAAGAAGTTAAAAGTGGTTTGAATCCGAGTTCAGTTAAGCTATTGCAGTTTACAGGACCATATGTTGGAGAATCGGCAAAGATTGGAGTAATTTGTGCAGTCATAGCTCTTACGGTTCGTTAAGTTCTTCTATGTTTTATCATTACAAATAGCTAAATATTTCCTTTCTTTGGAGGCTTATAGTATTATAATACAAATATTTTTAGGAGGCTGTGGCTGTTGGCAGGTCTTTCGCTTCAGTGAGGGGCTACCAGCTTGATGGTAACAAGGAAATGGTTTCTATGGGCTTTATGAATATTATTGGATCTCTGTCATCTTGCTACGTTGCAACAGGTGAGAGCAACCATTAAGGCTTCATTTGAGACGGCTTATTTACTACTTCTTAAAATAAATCTTTAATACAAAAATTTAATTTTTTATATTAAAAAGTTATTTTAAGAAACATTAAAAAAGCTGTCCCAAACAAAATCTTAAGTTTCATTTGGGACGACTTTTTTGTTGCTTCTTAAAACAATTTTATGGTATAAAAATTTTAATTTTTGTGCTAGAAAGCTGCTTTAAGAAGCAACAAAAAAGCTGTCCCAAACGAAACCTAGATAACTTTCAGCTTTGCAGAATGCCACATGCATTATATACTTTTCTAAACTTTTGAATGATGCTGCTGTTAGTAAAGCCTTGATAGTTTAATAAATGAATCCAATTATTGTGCGTAGATTATCAAAATATATATGATTCTGTTGAAAAATACCATGCTTTCAAGAGAATGAAAAGAATTTAATCCACTATGCATAAGTCAAATAGATGTTCAAATATTAATACGTTATGAGTATAAGCATAAAATATCTATACTCTATCTCCACAAAATAAAAACAATGAATTTACTATATTGCTAAATTTAGTTAGCTTTGATTAACAATAAATAAAAATTGTAAACTATAGAAGCAATTCAATAAATTACAGTGATGTCATGATTTTAAGGAATTACATTTTTAAATGCCTCCATCTTATCAAACATGGAAAAATGGTTAGATAATTTTATCATTTTCCGAGTGTGAAAATCATTGCTTGCTTTCATTTGCAGGCTCTTTCTCTCGAACTGCTGTAAACTTCATTGCTGGATGCAAATCGCCAGTGTCCAATATCATCATGGCCATCACAGTGTTCTTAACCTTAGAGTTTCTGACGAGGCTTTTATACTACACTCCCCTTGCAGTATTGGCATCGATCATCCTCTCAGCTCTTCCAGGACTGATTGATGTCAGAGAAGCTTGGAGCATATGGAAGGTTGACAAAATGGACTTCCTTGCCTGCATAGGAGCTTTCCTCGGTGTTTTATTTGGATCAGTGGAAATTGGTCTTATGGTTGCGGTGAGACATTTTCGTTCATTCTCCAGCATTTTATTCATTTTCTATCAACTCAGACCTGCTTGGCGGGGGCAGATCCAGCCTTAATTTTTTGGGGAACTTATAAACAAAAGTGTAGAGTTTTTTTTTTTCATAAATATACACATGATCAAAATTTGTTTCGAAGTCGCTAACTCTCGACCCATATTTGTTCATCGTTGTACGCTTCGCAAATATGTCGGGGTCCAAGGGGGCAGCGCTCATCGTTACTATTTCTCTTTATATTTTGCTCATCGTTCCCTAGCAATAACATATTTACACAATATGTTTAATTATGTTAGGGCAATTGCCTAAGTACTATAGTATTTTAAAACTTTTAGGGTGGTAAATGCCTAAAAACTCTTGTAATAAAAACTAAAAAATACATGGAGTGAGACAAATTACCTAAATAATCATATAATAAAGAATTTTGGCCTTAAGGTGGATCTGTCCATGCTGTTTGGGACACTTATTTATTGCTTTTATGAAAAGAAAAACAGTCAGAATAACTGAGAAATTTTTTATTATAATGAATTTTTTCCATTCATTCTTATGGAGAAAATTCAGACAGCAAGAACTTCCTAATAAGGGCTGTTGTTTCAGCTAACCATATCCTTTGCAAGGATCATATTGAGTTCGATTCGTCCAAGAATTGAAACCCTAGGAAGAATTCAAGGCACAGACATCTTTTGCAGCAAAAGACAGCATCCGGTTGTTTCTTTGGAGCCAGGACTTATGATAGTTCATATTGGTACATCCTTCCTTTGCTTCATGAATGCTAACTTCACCAAAGAAAGGTATACTTACCTTATATATATCAACATATTAGAATGAAGATGAACCAGGTTTAAAAAATCTCAATTTTATGCAATAAATAACCATAGCTGCTTATGTAACAGGATCTTAACATATGTGATGGAAGATGAGGAATTACAAGAGGAGAATAATGAAGGGAAAATCCTATATATGGTTATTGATATGTCAAGTAAAAACTAAAAACACAGTATTTCAAACTGCATGACTCATTTATGTGTAACCAATGACTTCAACTGTTCGCAGATGTGATGAATATAGACTCATCTGGAATCGCAGCAGTGGAAGAAATGCATAGCAAGCTTGAATCTTTTGGCATACAGGTGAGATTGATGAGCTGGGAGATTGCTAAGCTTTGATGCTGCCATATAATTATAACTTAATTTGTGAATTTCAGATGGCAATAGTCAATCCTGGATGGCAAGTGATTTACAAGATGAAGCTGGCTAGGCTTGTGGAGAGGATTGGAGTTTCATGGATATTTCTTAGTGTGGGTGAAGCTGTAGAAGCATGTCTTAGCTACAAGGAAGATAACATTTGTGCTTGATTAGAACCTCCTGAAAACCAGTCTTGTGGTGCATGGAAAATTTCATCGAGAAAGTGTTGGGAAGGTCAAGCCTTTCTCTCTTCATTCCTTCTAAGCAAGATTACTACTAGATTTGCAATAAAGCTTGTAGGGCTCTGCCTTTGGAACTTACTATGTTTGTATCTGTTGTGACTGCATGTTTGGTGTTTGCTGTTGCTGTGAACTTAAATCATATTATAATTTTGTGCTGAAGTTTTTAGATTTGGCTCTCAGAAAAAGAGGTACATGTCATTAAATTCCAACATAGTTACATTCTGATACCGAAATACCTTTATTTATTCCCATGCTATTAAAAATTGTCGTGTACATTAGAATTACCACAAGGTTACATCTCTCCCAACTATGGTATCAAAACTTTTGTGATGCGGAGCATTTTAGCTTAAATCATTTCTTAAACGTATATTATCTAGTTTGTTACAAGCTGCTATAGGATTCTAGAACTTTCAAGTTTTCTCTAGGTTTCTTTACTTAAGTATTATATATAGTATGATGTAAGAAAGGAGGAGCATTGATGAAATATTATCCTCTTTGAAGCTTTTGAAGTTTGTGTTTGTGTTTGTTTCCCTGGATATGAGATTTCCCTTCTTGCAGGTCCAATTCTTCCGACGATCCCCACAACATTTTGATTTGCATTGAGAGTAATGATCATAGAGAAAGGATCAATCAAAATTAGGAATCACCAAATTTGATAGATTTGAGTTATATTTTTGAGGAGGTAAAAGGAAGATTATTTGTATAATAAGATAATGCATTTGACCCTTGGATAAAAATCCTGAGACTACAAAGGATGATTAGAGGAAAATCCTTCATGAATAAGTTGGAAGATCTAGTATTGCATGTTAGGCTAAAAACATTAATGAGATAATTTGGAAGATCTAGAACGGGGCACGCGCCAAAGATGACATATAGCTTGATTTATTTGGGTAACTTAATGATGAAGGGCATAATATAACTTTTTATGGTTGTGGTTGGAAAGTCAGTAAGGGAAGCATGATTTATTGATATCTTCCTAATTGTTGGTTTCGCCACCTATACAAGATTATTGATCATTTATGAATGATAGCTTGGATGCTTTAAGGCTCCCCTTACTTTCACCTTTGAAACTAGCTTCCATAGTTAACAATGTTGAATGAATGTCTTGTAGAGTTATAGGGAAGTACACCTTTTATAATATATGACTCACAATATTGAAATATTTCAAATAGGTCATATTCCATGATTACTTTTTATCCCAAGATTTCCATGTAAAAAATCTTCATATTTAATATAAAAAAAGCTTAGTTGGGTAAGTGGACGAGCATGATTGGGAAACCCCACAGCCTATATTTGATTCTCCTCTCATGCGGCACGACCCTTAAGTAGGGAGAAAATAACTGTGGGTCTTGTACTTGTGGGGTTTGTTGTTTGTATGATCGCCGAGAGTTTAGTTACGTCGCCAAGCTCCTCCTATGAGGGTTGCAGCGGGTAGATACCCCCGTTTTATATATATATATCGGGTAGATACCTCCGTTATATATATATATAACCTGGTCGTGAGGTTATTTTGATTTTGATTTTTTTTTTATTATGGATTTTACTACAAATGACAATTTCACTAGCCACATTTTCTCTCCATACAATTAAAATAGTAGACAATACAATTAAAATATTAATCTCAATATTTGATTATATTGTCTAATAATTTAGATGTATTTACCTTTTTTAAATTAAGTTGCTTTGTCTATGAATAATTAAGTTAATTTCTTAATGTTGTAGGAATAATTATGTTAATTTTGTAATCTATTCACTTAACTACACATAATATAAAAAAATTTTATACGAGAGTATAAAATTAGATATCACATAAACAACTAAGTTAATATTAAGGCTTCATTTGGGACGGTTTTTTTATTGCTTTCTAAAACGGAGTTTTAGTACAAAAATAAAAAAAATTGTACTAAAACGGAGTTTTAGAAAGCAATAAAAAAGCCGTCCCAAACGAACCCTAAATGAGAATTTAATTGAGCTCTTAATACTGATAAACTAGTGCTTAATAAGCACAAATAGATCTGCAAGCATCTAGTTCACATCGAATTCCACGTTTCCAGCTTCTTTCATCAAAAACAGTGACCTCTAACAGAATTGGGCATCGCTACAGAACTGCAACTAATAAAGCCATCCACAGCGTTCAGCAGCAAGTAACCATGTGTAGAATTCAGTTCTTGTCTCCTAGACATTTGTATAAATACTTCTCCCTATGAATTTCAACTGTGAAGGAATTAAAATGAAAAGATGTGCTTTCTCTAATTCTCTGCTGCTCGCACTTCTTTACAGCAATACAATATCAGAATTCTTTCAAATTCAATGTGCTTGGTGCGAGCGTGCAAAATCTAGATTGTTTGTAAGAGCCATGGCGGAGATGTTGTCACAATAAAAGGGAGTGGATAAGGTACATGGAACACGGAAATTGGATAACAATCGACGAAGCCAAATGATATCAGAAGCTACTGATGCCAAGGCCCTATATGAATGTGTTACGATGCCAATTGAAAGTGCAAAAGACACACCAAGAGGGGGTGAATTTGTTCTTTTAAAAACCTTTTAAAATATTTTTCTTGAAAAATGAATCTTAAAAATTGCAGAAGAAATTAAACAAAAAAACTCAAAACAAAACCAAAAGCAAACATGATTTTTTTTTGGATAAGCCATTCTCTCTTAACCAGGTAGAAAATCACCATTACAGACTCTTCATGCTCGAAGAATCTCCCTCCTCTCGCCTACTCGGCTCGGCTGAGATGCCATCCCTCCTTTCACTTCCTAAGCCCAACGGAGATGTCGATCCCTCCTCCGCTAGGTGGAGATGCCATCCCTCCTTTTGTCTACAAGTCTGGCGAAGGTGTCATCCCTCCTTTTAGCTCCTTGATTCGACAGAGCTGTTGATCCGTCCTTTCGCTTCATGACCAGACGGAGATGCTGAAACCCTAACCTCCTTGGCCATAGATCTTGAGGATACCATGTGGGGTTATCATATCACATATATGATATTAATCAATACATCATTTTACTACACCTTGCGGTGTTACATATCAGCTTTTCAACTTCTCAACTCTCTCTCTCTCTCTCTCTCTCTCTCTCTCTCTCTCTCTATATATATATATATATATATATATATATATATATATATATATATATATATATCAAATATTTTATTGCATCAATCCATTATATATCAATCGTTTAGCACACATTATATTTCCAGATTATTATCATATCAAATTCACATACGGAACAACTAGCCATTGTAACCCTATCTATCCGATATATATTTTCTTACCATTCACATAAAAAGTTCTGTATATGCATATTTAACTAGTAAAATGTAATAAATTATTCACATTAATTCAAATGATCAAATCTCATATATTATTTAATAAGTAGAGTGCAAACGTAAAAAGATTTGGTGGATCTATTATTACTTATTCGACGGCACCTCCTCTCTCTTATACGTGTATTGTGTGGGATCTTTATACGAGAAGTTCAGAGATACAAACTCTATATCTTCTCTACAAGGGGAAATCGAGAGAATGTTGCTAGCTAGGAACGCAACATTTATAAATAGTAATTAGAAAAAATATACAGAGACTAATTCAGTAGAATAAAAATATTAAGTTAGGTTATTAATCTAATTGTTCATTAATTCACTATATACTATATATATAGGTAGTATAACATTATGCTTGTAATAGTTATATATGTATTAGTTATGTGATATTATAGTATATATTACTCCAGTATATAATAGTATAACTGTAGAATATATATATTGGAGATACTAAAAAAATAATTAAAAAATTAATCTATGTATATATAACTTTTAATTAACTTAGAAAAAAACTCTCGCAATTTAAACATTAATAAATATGTCAATTTCTCAAGTTATAAAATAAAAATTATAATATAATATATAATATATATATAATATATATATATATATATATATATATTATATATATAATATATAGATATATATCATAATAATATATTCAATTAACAATGAATTTAATAAAATTTATGAAAATTATATAAATTCAAATACAATAATATAAATGATTAAATTATTAAAATAAGGAAAATTGAAAAAAAAAATTTACGTATTCATATAATGCAAAAAATTATTTTTTTTCGGTTTTGCACCTTTTACTAATTTAGCTTATAGTAACATCGTTCTACTAAATTAATTAATGTTAAGCTCCTTCTAAACAAATTGCCTTGAATTAAAGATTATGTATGATTTAAATTAGTCATTCTTGTTGTTTAATAGGGTTTAGGTTAAATTTTGCTTATAACTTGCTGAAATTGTGCTACCCAACAACTCCTTTTTAGGGGTATCAAATTGGATTTTCATGTCGGGTTTGGGTCTAATATAAAATTTACATTCTCTTAATACGCCTGGTCTGAATCTGACCCGTTTATTTGAACGAGTAAAAATCTCATATCCGAACTCAACCCGCCAACAACTCGACCCAACCCACATTCCCGAAACATAAGCAACAAACTTCACCTACTTCAATGTCAACGGGTCACAAGAGCTCGCTCGTTGCGACGATAAGCAACTCACTTTCATTTCACACGCTTCTTCGGCCAAATAACGTAAAATCATCTTATGAAAGTTGGGTTCCTCTTCACCTACTTTGAGTATGAGATATTCCCTTTTTGTAATGAAAGTCACAATGGCTCGACAACCTTCTTCGCCTCCTTCAATCAATGACTATGGGAGCTCAATTGATATGACGGTAGTGTGCGCTTTTTAGGTTAAAATCAAGTTAATTTCAGGTTGGTGGGTTGATCTGAACTCAATCTGTTTATTAAACGGGTCAACCCGAAATTTTCAATCGAGTCAATTTTTGACACTACTCCTCCTTTTGGGCTTGTTTGGATGCCTCTATGATTTAATTTAAGTAGGATTTTGTAAATTCTCAAAATTTGAATTTACTAAATCCTTAGGGTATTAAATCCTAAAGTTGT